AACTTGTAAGATTGAAGGCTATTGAAAATAATAAGGGGCATTTTGGTGCTGTTATTCATATGACTTTCTCAGCGTCAAAATAAGGTACAAGCATCTGGTCTGACAAAACTTTGACTGGTCTGACAAAACATTTGACTTTGTCAGACCAAATGTCTGACAGTGATGAAAAAATTTCGACAAGTCTGCTCGTATATATACAGAAGATTCAAGAATGGCCTCATCAAAATAACTACACACTTGGTTAAAAAAAATTTCCCAGGTCACTCAATGCAGATTTTCAGGATGAACTTTGGTGAAGTGTATGAACTATTGTAAATGTAATGATTTATATATCTGATGTGATCTCCTTATTTGTTTACAGTTATTCTCCTATGTGATAGTCAGAAATGTCTTAGGCTGGGTGCGGACCAGATACAGCTCATTCTTTGCCTGGTTTGGCAAAATATCTTTAGAGGTAAGTGGCCTTAGCTCTTCTTTTATTGAGGCAAAAAAGCTCTAATATGCCTCACTTATAACCCATTTTGTTCGCCTTTTAAAATATGTTTGAAATAACGAAAAGTGCAGAGTCATTAGTTATTTTAGTTCAGTGAATGCATTTTCAGGAATTTGTTTTGTCAGGGCTGTGAATTTTGTAATTTTTGGGGGGAAGGGGATTCAATTGTCGAAGCTTCTAATGTTTGTTTACTCTTTTTATCTTTCAGTTGTTTATAGCACAGTACCATATATGGCTAGCAGCTGACACTTATGGAGTTTTAGTGTTGATGCCCTCGTATCCAGTATTAAATGTGATAGTGACATCTTTTATATTTATTTGTGCTAGCCATGAAATTTCAAAAATAACTGGGACCTTAACAAATTACTTAGTGCCAAAAGAAGGGAAGGCATTGTTAAGAAACGCTATTATATTCTTTATGATTATGCTTCCATTATCTGTTACAAAAGGTGTTCTTCCGTTCTAGGAAGTGTATTTTGCTCCTTACTCTGAAAGCAAGGGATATTAATTTTGTTTGATCCATTTGTTAGTTTGTCTTTCTGTCTGTGTATAACACTTATTTTGTAGATGATATCTCTGAAGTCTTATGATAACTCTGAATTAATAAAATAATACCCATATTAATATGGATTCACATCAAAGGTCAATGTCAGAAATTCATATTTTTACATAAAATGGTTTCCAAGATGATATTTTTTTTTAATTTTTGTAATGAATAGGCAAAGACTTTTTCCAACGTAGTAAGACTCTCAATTGATTTCAGAGTTAAAGGTGAAGGGCCAAGGTCACAGTTTCACACCAAGTATTCTTTAATTTCCACATGATATGTATGAAAACTAATCAACTTTTGACATAAAATTTTGTATTACCGGGTATACTTTCTGATAACTTTAAGAAAAAACTATTGTTTGGAGGACAAAAGATCAAGAACCAAGGTCAGAGATTTATAAGTTGCCTAAAATGGTTTTCAGAAAAAAAAGGATTTGATCTTTTTCAGTGAAATATAAAGTGTTGTTCTCTCAAACCGTAGGACCCTTTTGATTTTTTGGTCACAAATTCCCTTATGGCATGAAATGATTTCAAAATTCACTTCAATACTTTCAAATCCTCAAACATGGCCCCTATTGATTTTTAGGTAAAAAGGTCAAATGTCAAGATCTCAAACAACATGTATAATTGTTACAAAATATACACATGTAATATTTCATGTAATTTTTTTTTAAATCAAGGGATGTAAATTGCCTGAATGAGCTTGATTATTGCATTTATATAACTGTATTGTAGAAATATGTTACACAGGACTCCTTTGTGTAATAATATTAATGTATTTTATTTATATTTAAAAAGTGTATTTTGTTAAAAATGTGCTTATTTATTTTCATTTATATACATGTATATGTAGAGTTGTAGATTAATATTAATGTTACCCTTTGACTGTTTATGGACTTTTATTTTAATTTTCTATTCATTAAATTTTTGTATGCTCAACAATAATTACATACATGTAATGTTTTATTATTGTATAAAGGGGGGTACTGTGAGCATCAAGTTTCTGTGTGCTCAAAATAATCACATTCTTGCAATGTTTTATATTGTATTGTGACATGACCCGGCGAGTTTTCCTTTGAAGTCAAGCATACTGTATCTGCGATACAGAACACTTTTTGTGGGCGTTTCTTATGCAAATGAGCAGAAACTGTACTGTATCTGCAAAATATCAACGATACAGTACGGTTTATTTTTAGCGATGACGGAAAGCTGTATCCGTATACAGACATACCAATCGTTCAATTCGCCATAGAACTGTTCGTATTTACTCAAAAATTTAGGTGAATTAAAAATAAAATTTTACAACGTAAAGGTATTAATGTCGGATTCAAAAATTTTAGAAAGGAGGGAGTGGGGCAGTTCACAAATTATTACTTTGAACCCCACCCCCCCACCCCCCTAAAAAAACCAAAAAAAAAAAAAACAAACAAAAACAACGGAAAATCGTATTCCGTGGGGGTAGATTTATAATCAACCAACACCTATGTGCGTCATTTCGTTACTTGTTGATGAATTAAAAACCGTATGTATACAAGTTTAGAAAAAAAAATTAAGAAAGCAAAAAAGAAAAAAAAATCAAAGGTGGGATGGGGCACCAGTGAATGTTGTATCCCCGTTTGGTTACTCTACATTTTAATGAAAACGTGAAGTAAAATACCCCCACCCCCTTTCCTTTCATCTGCTTATTTCAATTTTGTGTATGACGACCGGTGGAGGACATTGTCGGACATTTCTCTCAGAATCTAGGATTCCCGAAGCATTTTTGTTTCAAAAATATTCCCACATGATTCTTATATATCAAAATGTTTAGCATTAAATCGTAGCTTAAACTAAAAAAAAATGTCATCAAAAGATCAGCAAGAGCTGCATGTGCGTCAAATCTAAATAAAAATTTTTGGAAAACAAATTAATTTATGCATCTCTTAAATAATTTTAAAATCATAGATACCTGCACGTCCATCTCGCTCTGCATTTCAGTTGAGAATGCTTAAAATGGGATACTAAATCAACTTTCTGCAAAATCATCTGATTGGTTGGGAGGTATACACCCAAATACGCATGTAAATTAGTGAGGTCCTTAGAAAGGTCATGTCACAAGTCATTTAGAATACTCGTTTCTTACTGTATCAGAGATACAGGGCGGGGCCCGGCTCGAGCTATCGCTCTCGCCTCAAGCCCCGCCCTGTATCTCTGAAAAGGGTTCTGTTGGGCCCTTTTCAAGTCAAAACCAGTAATACTGTTATGAAGTGTTCACTGTTTAAAGTACATATACATAAATACTTGTAACTAAATATAACTAGTTTTGTGTTTATAAATTGTGAAACATTTATCAAATTGTTGTGTGTGAAGCTCAACCAAAACCCGATATCCTAAAGGATTTACCAGTACAGTTTATACTTGTACATGTATTCGTGTGTTTGAAAAATGTTTAAAGTTATGTAACCCTTGTTAATTTGAAAATGAACTATCGCTTTGTATCCATCTTAATACTACTTTCCTCCATGAAAAATTCATCTTTTAACTTCTCACTAGACATACATGTATTTTTTGTTTTCTTTTTTTTTTTAGAGACTTTTTCTTTTGTTAAACTGTACATGTTTGAATATATGAATTGAATTTTGTAAACCATTTTATTGAATACAAAGTACAATGTATCTTCATTTCCACTGCCCATAATTAAATACAAGTACTGGTGTATATGTATTGTATGGAACTTTATTGAGGTTATTATGACCTTATAGAATATAAAACTAAACATTATTTCAAGGCATTATTTTAAACATTATTCCATTGTCTTAATGTGTCATAAGGTAAAGTTTTGAAATTAAGAATAAAAACTCAGATAAAGTGCAATGTTGAAATTGTTTTGAGGTTTATAGAATAATATGGTCAGTAAGTTCACAGAGAGGGGGGGGGGGGCAGAATTGATAGCAGGTCATAACAGATGGAAGGGACATGGATTTATCACTGGTAAGTAGGTCAAATGTAGGTGAATAAGGAATAAATATCAAGTGAGTCTACCAATTGAAGATCATATTGATTTGTCCATCAGTAGTCACATGGAAGGGAGGTAACTGATATCTAGTCAGCAGTCCATATAGAGGAAGGTATGTAACCTAACCTGATTAGTAAATCATGGAGAATCTGGTGTCTGGTCCAATACTAAAGCTCATGGGGGAGGGAATGGATATGCTAACAAGCCAGTAGGTCCCAGAAGAATATGGAATTGATATCAGGTCCGTAGGTCATATGGAAGGGGTATGATACTGATATCTGGACAAATGTCACATGGAATGGGTACAGAATTGATATCTGGACAAAAGGTCACATGGATATGATATCTAGTCAGTAGGTCATGTGTAGGAAGCTTTAAAATTGATATCATTTTGAAGTTGTGTGGGTTGATACATGAAAAGTCAGACGATATGAATTTGATGTCTTTCCTGTTGGCCATGTGAAGGAATATGGATTTGCTAACATGTCATTACATGTATAAGTGATATATGGATTTAATAACTGGTCAGTAGGTAATGAGGAGGGAATACAGACTATATATATCAGTCACTAGGTCACATGGTGAGAGATATGTGCAATATCTGGTCAGTCGGTCAAGTAGAGGGGGTCATGCATGGATCTGATTTTGAATCAGTAGGACTAAGAGGGGGATATCAAACTTTCCAGCTTGGTAATGTCTACAGCAAAACTTTCTGATGCAGTTGAACGAGCTTGAATTTTAATTTTTTTCACATTAATTTTTAAAGTGACCTAAATATTATAAAGATGGGAATATTTTTGCAAGGGTATTTATCATAATTTGGATTGCTAGACATATCAAGACAAATCTACAAGTACTGTCTCTGAGGCTATATAGTTGCAAGATTGGACCTGCTGTTCAATACCGTACTTTTCCTATGATCATAATGCATAAATCTTGCAAATGAAAAGAACAATATTTACTGAAAAATATCATTTTTAATGGTATATATTGCACTTATTGTACAAGTATTCATTTTTTAGAAAATAGTTTGATTGAGATATACACGGTATATATTAATGCAGCAATGTGATAAATAGTAAGAATATATGAACCAATCACAGGCTAGTTTACATGATACCCATGGGAATGTATAATATCAAGACATAAGAAGAAATATCAGTGGTTATAAATAACAACATAACAAATAACAAACCAAAGTTCAAATAAAGGTTTTGCAGAATAATGGAAGAAAAATACGAAAGATTATGGCAGTTGGTTATTGTGAACATTTCCATTAAAACCCAACATTGAATGGAAAAAGTGAAAAACAACCTTGAAAATATATAAATCCTAGATTAAAATAAAGTACACGTAGTGATTATGCTTATATTTTACCTGTGAAAATCAATATTACAGGCTTCATTAGTTATATCAGTTAATATTTTTTACAGCTATTTTACCAGTCTGCATAATAATAATAAGTTAATCTATATGTATATCATACCCAGCAAAAAGTGTTACAGACTTTTATGAATTTTGAAAATTTTTACATTTTTTTCCCTGAATTGACATTTTATACAGAAAGACCCATCATTCATCGACATGTTCCACCATTTCAGGATATTCATCCTCTTTAGTTTCTTCTCCATGAATCCGTTTTTCCCAGAAAGAGGCTCTAGCATTTATACATCCTGACCTTATCCTTGTTTTGCCTTTAGCTTGAGCACCAGCTGAGGAAGCTGCAGGTGCATTCTGGGTAGGAACTTTTGACCTTGACCCAGTTTCAGTCTGTGTCCTTGAAGGCGGAGTTGCTGCTGCCTGTTTAGTTTGTGAAGTCGGGGCTGATGGGGCAGCTTTAGTTTTTGTACTAGGCACTGCCTTTGTAGATGTGACATGTTGAGTTTTCTGTGGGGGAGAATCAGGGAAAAATTCTCCTTTCTTTTCAGGAAAGATTTGAGTTGGTTCAGCATTCAGCTGTTTGGTCCCTGGGTGTTTGGAGGTCAAGGTCACAGTAAGTGTGCTTTTTCCTGGGGTGAGTTGCTCTGGGGATTGTACTGGCTTGGTCAATGGGGAGGAAAGGTTTCGGTATTTATCTAGCTTCTCCTTAGGAACACTACGACCAGTGATGCTGTGTACCTATAAAACATCCAGGAATATTATTTCAAATTCATTAGAAAAGCTTTAACCAATTATACACAATAATGAGCTAACTACATGTATTTTCTTTTGATTTGTTACAAGTTAATACCGTCATGCATAATAAAATAAACAATAATTTTATATTACAACATCAGTTTTAAAATATATGTACATATATATGGTATGGACAAGAACTCATTATAGAGAGATTATTTTTGATTAAATAGAACATTTTTGCAATCTTTATATAAATGGATATAATTGTAAAGCATTATAAGAAAAAAATTAAATGTAGGGAATGAAAATGTTTAACTCTAATTATAATCAAAATTAGGAAAAATAACATACAAAATATAAAATAAATAAATTATATTATAAATAAATATAGTATCAATTAACAAGAGGCCCAGGGGCCACATCGCTCACCTGAGCAAATCGGCTAGGAAAATGCACAAATCAGATCAGAACTGAGAAGTTCACTGAAGGGGGGGGGGGGGGGTTAATTTTAATACTACTTGAGATTGTCTTCATATTAAAACAGAATGTGACTTTGATGTTCTTAATAAAAAGATTTTTCAAAAACATTTTCTTCCTATATATAACTTCATAATAATTTGAATTTGATTCCCATTGTTTCCCTACCCCAAAGGGCCATGATTTGAATAAATTTCAATCTTCAATACATGAGGATGCTTAAATGTCAATATGACTAAACATAGCTTTTCTGTTCTTGGGATTTTTTTCCTTTATTTTTCTATGTAAAACTTTGATCCACCATTGTGGCCCCATCCTACCCTTGGGGGTTATGATTTGAACAAATTTAATTCTACACTACCCGAAAATGCTTCCATATAAATACTAGTATTACTAATCATAGCTTTGCTATTCTTTCGAAGATTTTTTTTTATATATATTTTAATGTAAAACTTGGATCCCCCACTGTGGCCCACCCTATCCCTGGGGGTTATGATTTGAACAAACTAGAATCTACACTACCTGAGGATGATTCCACATAAATATCACTAATCATAGCTTTGAAGTACTCTAGAAGACGATTTTGAAAGATTTCCCTATCTAGTCCTATGTAGAACTTTGACCAGCCATTTTGCGCCCCCCCCCCCCCCCCCCAACCCCCAGGGGTCATGACTTGAACAAACTTGAATCTACACAACCTGAGGATGATTTCACATAAGTTTCATCTTTCCTGGCCCAGTGGTTCTTAAGCATGTTAAGAAGAAGATTTTTAAAGATTTTCCCTATATACTCCTATGTAAAACTTGGATTCCCTACTGTTGCCCCACCCTACCCCTGGGGGTCAAAATTGAATAAATTTGAATCTACATACCTGAGGATGCTTCCACATGAGTTTCATCTTTCCTGGCCCAGTGGTTCTTCAGAAGAAGTTTTTTAAAAGATTTTCCCTTATATAGTCCTATGTAAAACTTTGGTCGGCCATTTTGGCCTCACCCAACCCCCGGAGGTCATGAAATGAACAAATTTGATTCTACACTACCTGAGGATGCTTCCACATGAGTTTCATCTTTCCTGGACCAGTGGTTCCTGAGAAGAAGATTTTTAAAGATTTTCCCTATATACTCCTATGTAAAACTTTGATCGGCCATTGTGGCCCCACCCTACCCCCAGGGGTCATGATTTGAACAAACTTGAATCTATGCTACCTGAGGATGCTTCCACATGAGTTTCATCTTTCCTGGCCCAGTGGTTCTTGAGAAGAAGATTTTTGAAAAATGCCATTAATTTTTCACTAATTCATAATTATCTCCCCTTGGAAAAGGGCTTGGCCCTTCATTTGAACGAACTTGAATCCCCTTTACCTAAGGATACTTTGTGGCAAGTTTGGTTGAAATTGGCCCAGTGGTTCTTGAGAAGAAGATGAAAATGTGAAAAGTTTACGACGACGACAGACAACGGACAAATTTTGATCAGAAAAGCTGACTTGATCCTTTGGCTCAGGTGAGCTAATAATTTCCAAGCTGTAAAACATTAATAGGTTTCTTTAAAGAAGTACATGTATATATATTTTTTTAAATATATAAAATACATGTATACATAATTAAAACTGGATAAAGAACCCAGCATGGTTCAATATCTGCTCATGCATACTAACCTGTTTTCTGAAATATTCTTTCAGATTTGCACAAATTAATTAAATCAGGTTAAACTCTCAACAAAATCTACTGAAATTAGAACCAGACTGATTTCTTACGTTTAAAAAAAACCAAGAACCTTTACCAAAAAAATTTTTTTTTTGTTTGTTAAAGAAAACAATTCCATAATCATATGTGCTTCTACTCTAGTTAATTTTAAAAAGTATTTGCTACCTTGTGACCTCCCAATCCTTGTGTTTGAAAAAAAAAAAAAAAAAACAAGAGTATAATGAAGCAAATTCCCGTTCAATTCATAAATACCTAGGGGAAATAAAAGAAAAGTGTGTGAAATTGCAAAAGGAAAAGATCTAGAATGGTGTACGAATTTTTAACACCTACATTAAGAGAGAAAAAAAGTCACCATTTTTGCAGAATTAAGAAAACTAAAGTCAAAGCTTGGGATTTTGTTTTGACCTTCGAAGTAAAAGCCTGCCAGTATAGGCAAATAAAAAAGTTTAGCACTAGAGATAAAGATACAAAACTCTACTGAATCAATCTGGTTCTAAATCATTTACATTTCATGCTACAATTGTACTTTTCTCTTCAGCAAACCTTATTATTAAGCACTCTTCTTTTTTTTTAAATTATGAAATAATTTATTCAATTGCTTCATTAATATATTTATTACCCAAACTTCTGCCCATCTTCCAATTAAAAATTGGATTAGCACCAACAATATTTCTATTTAATCTACATTTCACTTCAAGCTGCAAAACTGCCACATAATAAATCTACAGTATAGAGAATTTTCATATTTAATTAAATCATTAACCCTTTTTTTTAATTACCCGCTTTATGATCCTTAGTAAACCTTAATAGACACTGCAATTCATTGAGAATTGTTTATAAAATGTAAATCCAACATTTTTTTTCTCTAGATCAAGTACTTTTTTTCCATGCATGTGGCAGCTTTGCAAATATTTTAAAAATTTCTAAAGGAGCCAAAACATTCCTTCCAAAAGCTCAATCATCTTTTCTCTAGTTTCCATGTAGCATGAAATTCTAACAGAATCAAATACAAAGGTTGTTAAGTTTTAAAGCACACGTCTATCTGTAGTGTAATGGCTACTCACCCCCGAGCTTAGAACATTTTCAAACTGTAAATTATGTTTCAAAAGTTAGGCTTGCATGCAAAGTGTACTAAATTGCACTTGGATATACAGTAAAAAAAAACATAAGCAAAGGATGTTCTGTCAAAAAATATCTCTTTGCAGATGAACTGTTTATAGAAAGTTTATAAAAGCCAAATATAAGTTCCATGTACATAAATCCTTTTGAAATAATTTTGATTATCATTAATTTTTTTCTCCCAAAGGAGAAAACTTAATGTATAGCAAATAGCGAATATTAAATGACATTTTTGAAGTTTTATTAGGAAACAAAGAAAATTTGTAACAAGAATAAGTTATAAACCACAAATTTTAACAAGCAACAACCCTGTATCTATATCTATAAATATACATAGGAAATTTTCATCTTTAATATTTTACCTAGTATAGCTATATGCACCATGGTTTTAAAGAAAAGCACCATGACTCTTGACTAGTATAACACATGAGCATCTTCAAAATGTTTTTATCAAGAGATTCCTTGGTTAGTGTTTCTTGAAACAAATCTGTCATGATTATATCAATATTTACTTAAATAAAAATTATGAAATCTAGCAATAACATTAAAATTCTCCACATACACTAATAACAAACAATAATAAAGAATTATTATATAATTGCACCTAAATCTGTCAAAATCACTGACTATAGAAGCTCATCAAAGGATACAGAAAATAGGATGGGATAGAAGATAGCAACCAACACCATATTATTCTCTCCAATGGAAAAAATAGGTGTTAATCAAAATTTTGTTTATTTCCTTACTCAAAGCATAAGTTAGTACATGGGGGATAGATAGGCTAAAGAGTTGTACTAAAGGAAATGGGAAAGGGGTGAAGTTTCTAATCTAAGCCTACAAAATGATAAGCTCCTAATTTAGATGGATGTATAACTTGTAAGAATGTTTTTCCTCATTAATCACAATTAAAAAGAAACATATCAGAATTTTTTTTCCTGATCATCCATCTTATGAACTAATGTATGGCAATGAACTAATATAATGTAGCATAAATGATATTAAGCCATGATTCCAACTTTAAGCATTTTTAGCACCAGTAAGACAGAATGTTCTGTATTTTTCAGAAAAAAAAATTGTTGCTTAGCTAATTATTTCTTGAAGAACATCAGCTTTGTGAACAAGTGGCTGTGATGTTCATGCAGATTTTGTGAACACATTTATTTTTGTGAGACACATTAGACAAGTGATGCACCGTACTTCACACACAAGTTCTTAAATGACAATGATATTATATCAAGGTGAATACACATGTAAGATCTTAGGAGATGTGATTACACAATGTTTGTTAGCATTCGAGTAAATGTTAGTCAATACAAGCAACCGCCACCCTTTTTTTCACTAGCTATAACTTGGGGCAACATGCTAAAAGTTAACGTCTGCTAACCCGCTTCACTGATGCAGAGTCTTCTCCCTTCCCGGAGTTGAACAGCGACTTCAAGCGATTGACCGAGGGCAGTTCAATGGCTCCCATGTCCTCGTTGAACTCGGTGCGGCTCTCGGGAATGTCCCTCTCGCTGGTCTCCCCGATCATCTGGGTCTGCTGGGGTTTTTCTCGGATGGAGGAGAAGCCTGAGTCGATGGAGAGACTCGGGGACAGGCTGCTGATGCTCCCCTCGGTGGTGTGTCCAGTGGTGATGGACGGACAGCTGTTCAAATCCAACTGCTGCTCTACACTCAGGACCTGATGTGAATAAATAACAATCATTTAAAATTTTTAAAAATATACATGTAATATGAAAAAAAAATGCAGATTTGATTTGTAGCATGCTTGTAATAGGAAAATGCTGCAATAAATCTATATCAAACTGTGCATCCATTCTTGTAGGAAAAAAGTAATAAAAATGGTAGGGAAAAAATGACAGGAATGTCAAAAGGCTTCAAAATACTTGTATATACATTAAAGATGCATAGTTTTGCATGATTTTTTTTTGAAATTCTAGAAACAAGACAATGAATTGAGGTACAGAGGCAAGCAGTAGTAGCTGTAATAAAAATCTCATAGGTATTACAAAAACACATATATAACTGTACAACAAAAAAACTTGATCACATTCAGAAAAATTCAAAGTACAGAGAAAGAGATTATCAAAAAATCTAGAGAAAAGATACATGTTGCTGAGCTAAAAGGACAAAAAATAAAGGCTGCACTTCAGCAACAACATGCAGGTCTTACACGTTGCTCAGTGAGGTTTGTGTGTGCCACAACTAGTGCCACCTCATCCTCTAAGTCTTGCAGCTTTCTCTTTTGTGACAGGGGTGTGTGACTTAACCTATACTCAAGGCTGTGAATTAGTTCCTCCAGGTTACAGATGTGACCGTATGTTATGTATATCTGTGGCACAAAAATCAGCAACAAAACATGCTACATTTCTTTCTTATTTTCCAAAAGTGTATTCAAATTCGATTCTTACTAAAATGGCTTCAAAAAATTAAATACATTGCAATATGTACCACTGTTGAATTTACGGATTATATCTAATTTAATAGACCCTCATACCAAGATAAAACATAAAATACTCCAATTGTTTAACATTCCTGCCCACAGTAAATGACCTAACATGAGTAACCTGTAACCCCTGACCCTCAGATCTATAACTTTATACTACCCACCTCCTCCTCTGCTGCCTCCAAGCTTTCCTGGGTCATGACCTTTCCTCCCCGAGGAGAATACTGTGGAAGCTTAACCTCCCAGTGTCGAGGAGAATTCTTCTTATCCCCCTGCACATAAAAATCCCTTCCATACATTTCACCAGAAACCTCCTTGGCACCAAAATTGACCACCATTGGTTCTTCATTTTCATTGGCTGAATTCCTCCTTTCCACATACTCTTCATTCTCATTGGATAAATCACTCCTTTTCACAGATTCCTGAAGTGTTCTGGAGGCAGGTTCTATCACAGGTTCAGAGGTCAAGAGGTCATTGTCTGTCACAGAGGTCAAGGAGTCATTGTCTGTCACTTTTGAGTGTTCTGAGAGATCTAGGGGTGGGACTTTTGTTAGAGGTACTGGGGTAACATTGTCTGTTTGTCTCTCCAAGGACTTCCTCAGGTTGTTATTATCCTGATCCTGTTGAGAAATGGAAGAGGAGGTCTCCTCTCTGGAAGAAGTTGTAAACACATCCTCTTCCGGTTGGGAATGGATGAGATTTTCAGTGGATTTCAACAGTTGTAAAGCAGATGAGGTGGTGTTGCGTAGATTTGAGGCTGCATTCTTCTGCATGAATAGAATATTAGGTATTATAGGTAAGCATTAAAATGTAGAATTTGATTTTTTTTTTTTTTTTGCTATTGCATTTAAGCACTACATATTTTCAAATATATTTCTCCCAAAAAGTATTAAATTTATTACATGTTAACTTTCAAACCTAAGTATCTTTAAATTTACAGGTACATTGTGTACTTCAAATTCACCTTATTTTAATATGCAAAATCAGAAGTTTATTTTTACTGAAAGGAGTTAGCAAAACAGGCCACCCGTATTTAAAGAGTGCATGCACAAGATGAACCAAAGACAAACACAGAAAATCTCCCAATAACTACTGTACAGACTGTTGTGAGGCCAGCTCTTACCATGCTGTTATAACTCTCCACACTCTTACGCAGATCATGTTTAAGCATGGGGTCCTCATCTGCAAACTCCAAGGGAGGGGAGGGGCGAGGAGAGGAGGAGACTTCTATCTCTGCCTCAAATGAGGAGAGCATGGCATCAAACTGGTCCAGGGAGGAGTGCATGTCAGCCAGCTGTTAGTGCAAATGTACCCAAAGCATTAGTCACCCATCACCCAAGAATGAGAGTCAGGCAAGACACAAAATTGTAGTGAGACATAAAGTGTTTTACATGAAGTCCCATCTGAATTCAAGTGTCACTTTTAAAAAAAAAATTCAAAGGTTTTAATATATTTGAAGTTTAATTTTTTAGTAGTTTGATATAAAGAAAGAGATTTTAGAAATTGAAATTAAACTACATAAAGAAAAGAGCTTTTGGAACCTCGAACTCTTTTGGACATATCCATGACATTCATAAAATCAAAGTTTGAGATAACTAAATATTAATTGTATTAATTAAAGTATGTGTAAAGTGACCAGATGGGATTATGTAATTAACTAGATGAAATGAAAGCTATAATACATTAACCCAAAGACACAGTAATTGTGTTAGTTAATTAACTCTGTGCTAATTACAATCCTACTGACCTTGTTAGCAGACTCCATCATACTCTCGCTTTCCTCTTGAACTTTCTCGTGGGTCATGAACAGCTTCCTCCCCATGTTAGACAGTTGTTGGTCATCCTTGCTTTTGATTGGTGTAGAGCTGATCACTTTTGTCTTGGGGGAGGAGTCTGCATAAAAAAACAATAATGAAATGCAAATTCACATTCTCTATATATACGTTCCATACAGATTCCATTACATTGTAAAGTCATAAATTTACAACTAATATCATTATTTTTACAAACTGCAAATTCAAAAGGATGTGTTTTTTAAGAGCACATGATTATATTTTGATGAATTTTACCGAGTTCCTTTGACTGAACAATCAGCTGAGCTGTTGATTTCGTCTCCCCGGCAACATTCTTGGCAACAACCCAATATTCAGCATCCTCCTCAGGGGTGGCATACTCTATATTAAGAAGGTAATCCCTGTTTCCAAACTTTTCTGTGAAATAGAAATGAGTACATGTAAAATATAAAATTATTATAAGTTTCTCTCCTAAAAGACATTCACTGATTCAAAATTTAAAACAAACACAGCTTTTCAACATATTTTATAGAAGACAATGAACACATACCTATTTTGAAGTTTGAACCACTTTTCAGTAAATTTCCATCTTTGTACCAAACAACTCTTGGAAGTGGATAACCTTTGACTTTTGCCCTGAATTTGACATGTTGACCTTCCTTGACCTCTTGATCTTCAATTTCTTTCAAAAATTCTGGTTTCTTCATTTCTTGGTTATTGTCTGCAAAAAACAAAGAAAAAATACATTATTTCTTCAGAGGAAGTCCGAAAAGGGGGGAGGGTGTCAAAATTATCAATTACAGATTTAAGACACATAAAATGGCAAACATCTAGAAAATTAATACACACAGAAATATGGACAAGGTGATGCCAGTAAACAGCAAGAAATTTTATTTCATTTCTATGGAGGTTTAACAACAATCTTTACATTACGCTGTCTTACTTTTAACTTTGAGGATAAAGGACTGTGAGCAGTGAGCCTTCTCGTTGATTGCCATACACATCAGCTGACCCGCTGTGTGTTTGGCCGTGTTGAACACCGTAGCACCGTGTCTGTTGTGATCCTGAGTAAACTCGTAATCTTCCGAGTCCTCCAACTGTTGTAGATCACCTTCCTCCACTCTGTACCATATCACCTCTGTAAAAGTTAATATTTTACCTTTGTTAGCATTAAATCACTTCTGTAAAAATTATTTCCCTTTATTACATTTTTTGTGAGACAAAAATCACTTCTGATATGAATGATTTCCCTTTTAACACTTTTTTATGAAACAAGACATGATAAGAGGTACATGTATTTCCCTTTGTTAACATTTTTTTTTTGCAAGACACACATCCCCCCTGAAAGAAGTTATTTCCCTTTCTTTTCTTGTTTCTTGATAATTTTTGGATAAAAAAGGAGGTAAAATATTGCATGTGCAAATCTTGGACAATATTGCTTCTGTTGAGAGTTATTTCCCTTTGTTCATATTTTCTGTGACACAGAGGTAATATGTTGCATACTCAAATATTTACACATTCAGATGTCCAGGTGTGACAGCTAGGATTAAGTGGAAAAATAGAGTATCTATTGACTGTATTGATTTGAAAGGAAAAATGATTTTTAAAATAAATGCAGCCTGTTGCCTGATGGATTTAGGTGTCACAAATTTCTGAACAATATAAACTGTTTCATTGGAAACTGGTACAATACCTGATGATTAGAGTTTAGATGATTATACTAGAGTTTACCTAGCTTACCACAGAGAACTCAACATTTCAAAAATTTTCATGTAAACCATTACACTCTAACATCAGATGTAAGTAAGATAACATTATTTTCATATCATTTTCAAATAGAGGGTAGGGGGGGATCGCTGAAGTTGGAAGTACAACTATACCTATAGGTTCAGTTCCACTGACTCTGCAGCTGAATTTGGCTGGTTCCCCCTCCTTGACTGTTACACTCTCAGGTGGGATATCAAACTTGGGATCGTCGCCCTCGGCTGGAATCAGTTCCTCTATGTAAGTAGGCTCGGTCTTAGCCGTGCTGGTACTGGTATATTTAGAGATAGAGGTGTCCACGGACGTGTCGGAATCCACTGTTTGGACGCTGGTGGAGGAGAGGGGGCGGAGTAGAGGAGAGGATGAGGTCATTCGGGTAGTGATCCTCGCGATTTCATCCACAGATTTGGCAAAGAATGAAACTTCATCATCCATTAGGTTTTCTTCATGACCTTCAGAAAGGTCATCTGACATTTGGTCTACATCCCTGTAAATTAACAACAAAATGAAAGTAGAGATAAATTTTTTATTGACCTTCACAAAATTGGAAAATATTTAAAAATTACAAAAAAGAAAAATTGTTCTTAAATTTTCATCAAAATCAATTTTTATCCTACCTTGAGAATGCATAAAAGATTTTCAATAATATATACCACAACATTTTCAGGTGTGACAAAAAGTTTATAACTATAAAAGGTTCCACTGAATTACATAATCTCTCAGCTACACTAAACAATCTCAAGAATTCCTTTAAATCTGTGCAACTACTTGACTGCAATAGCATTCTCTGAATGGAGATTCAAAGGTGTGCAAAGAAACTGGGTCATTAAAATGCATGATATACATGTATAAGTCCAAAAAGAATAAAATCCCTCACTGTCAATACAAAGTTCATTGACAATAACACACTCAACACATATTATATCATATACATGTACATACAAAAATAGAGATTCATACATAAAGGTGGGTTTTCATTGTTTTGGGTTTTTTTTTTGTTTTAAAGAATGCAAGGAAGAATTTAAGGAACATGTATGGAACATACAACAAATAAAAGATGGATGTGCCACAAAGAAACAAACAAAAATTTGGGTGTACGTGTGATGAAAAAAATTTGAGTGCACTCAAAAAAATGCGAGTACACTCAGTGCACTTGCCTGGATTCTCCCTTTTCCTGATCCACACTAAAAAGGTGCAGCAAAACAAAATAAATCAACTTTTACTGATGACATCACTTTAATTTTAACAACTTTAATTTAAAAATGTCATTAATCTATAAATAATTCCAAAGAAATTTAAAGAACATGTTCTATTTTCATTTTAGTCAAATAACAAGGAAAATTTTGTAAATTTTGACTTTACACTGTAAACACATCACTCAAACTTTAAGATACATGTATCTTGTAATTTGGGAATTATTTTTTTCACTACTGTATATCATTAGTCTTTGAGATAACAAAAGTTACACTTCATATCTTTTTCACACATTTTTGATTTGAAAGACATTTGACAGGTAACCAAAAGGACCTTGATGCTTGATGCACTCATCAAACATAACCCAACTTTATAATCAAATCTCCATCTTATTGACCAGACAAACTTTTTACATTGTTTTAGAAGTAACCTTGACCTTGCCATGACCTCTAATCAGGTTCAAGATTATATCACAGTATAATTCTTTTATTTAAGCCTAAACCTCTAATTTTCCTCATTTACCAAATTATGACCTGCCAAAAGAAATCCTAATTTGCCTCTCTTAGACACTGTCTGTGACCAAATGACCTTGGGAATTGATTGGGCTATCTGGTCTGTCAGGTAACCTCTTCACTGCATTTGATAAAGGTATGCAATTTACCTGTTTTTGTGATTTACAGGTGAGTTTTATTCAGCTGCATGGCGTATTGAATTTTCTAATTGAACCAGTTTCACATAAAACATACTGACGAAAAAAATTTCACAGTGGTGCCATGCAATAAAACAACATCATTAAACCTGTACCCAAACAGATAAACAACCCACACACCTATAAATCCCCAACCACTTAAATCGCCTCAAACAAAAACTAAATAAAAGTGTTCCTCATACCTGTTTCCCACTCTGGCAGTGATGTCATCATCTGGTTGGGGGATGGTGAGGTACACTTCATCTAGTGACCTCCCCGCCAGACCCCCACCCCCCAGGCTGGAAAAGGGGGAGAGGCCAGATCTGTTGAAGATCCAGTTGTCTCGCCAACTCTTCTCTGTAATGATAAGGCATGTTAGGATTATCTTACTTCCCTGCTATAATACTTCTAGAAAACTTTCAGTTGCTGTAGTAGTATCTAGCTATATATATTTACCTCCATTGAACCTGGGGTGTGAGGAGCCCCCCTCCTCATTCTCCTCATCATGGATGTCCTCCTCATCCTCCTCGAGGATCGGAGCAAGATTCATGGATAACAGATCTGGGTCCACCTCGTTTTGAAAGAATTCATTGTCTTCGTAATCCTCCGAAAAGTCAGGAAGTGAATATTTCTCTGTGTCGTGCAATCGGTCGTATGTTGACAACCGCGACACAAACTCACTTTTTGATTCGTCACGATTCACTGTCACAGGTTCAATTGGTTCCTCATCGAATTCAATTTCTTCCTGAATGTCATGAGCCTGAACTCTGCGTCGCGGCGATTTAATATCTTTGGCAATGCGTCTAAGCTGTTCAAAGTCTTGTTGTACGTTATCAGCGTGAACACTTTCTGTGGTAATATCCTCCTCTTCCTCCCCTGAAAGTCTTTGATCCACTCCTTCACCGTCCACTATACCCTCACTTGAATGATTTCCAATGTCAAGGTCGTTTACACTTATCACTTCATAACTACTGTCATCAAGGGGTTCATGTACTGGCCTTGATAAATCCCTAGAAACTCTATCCTCCACTGGATTTAATCTATTTTCAGAATCACTCACAGATTCATTTACATCCAATTCGTCCACATCAAATCCGCCTGAATCGGCGTAACCTAACAGTGAGCGGTGCTCGACTTTAGTCACCACACTGTTTTCCTCATCTGATGAGGCACCGCGACTGGCGAGATCTGGGTGAGATTTGTTGCCCGAGGAATGAGATTGTCCGTCGGACACTTGATTTGTTAAAGCGTTTCCATCTATAAAGTCTAATGGAATGTCTATATTTCTATCTCTTCCAAAATTTTCAAGTACCTACAAATGAAGAAAAAGAAATTAACTTATTTTCATTCACAATCCATAACAAAGTTTATCATCATCATTGCCATCATTACAAATTATGGAAAAATGATTGAGGACATGTGACAGACATCAATTGTACAGGTGACTTAACATTTCCTTATGAGCCTTGTATGCAATATAAAGAATGCTACAAAGAAAAATTTTATTCCAACAGGAAATACAAAATTTAACCTTACTGTTAAAATAACAAAGTAAATATGCACTACAATGCAGACAGCTATAATTTCTGTGGTGTCCAACATGGTGATCAAAATCCAAAGGCAGTGTGATCTCTCATTAAACGCTGCAGTTCACTTATCATGCAGAAATTAATTTCATTTCACTTTGGTTCACAATCACATATTTTGTTGTTTTAGTTTTTTTAAAAGCCCAATTCCTTTTTTTCATTTCTTTTAAAAAAAAAAAATCCACCCACTACTCTTCAAGATATTGCAACTCCCAGCGAAAATTTCTCCAAATGACAAAAAGAATCATCCTCAAAAAGAAACAAAACCAGACTCCATATATATATCTGTTCACAGCTGTTTTTTTCAATAAGCACAAATTATGTAAGTCTGAGAAGAAACCAGTGTTTCAAAAATTGCACAAGCGAAAAAGAAACTTATGAAAGAACGTCCTTTGTTCGTGTCCTCTAGTTCATGTATTATGACACCTATCTATCTACATGATAGGGCCTCCAAGATCTATCACCCACAAAGGGGGAATCTTATGATTTAGGGCGCTCTTCACATATGTTTTCTATGTAAATATCAACTTTAGATTATATGGTTCAATTAAGTGACAAAATATAAAGAGGGGGTCGCACATAAATTCACTTTATCCAATTTCCAAGGTCAAAGAATATGGACTGTAGATTTTCAAAGGTTCTGGACTTCTTATGACTGCAATATTTCATTTTTAACTGTCATTTTGTGTTATCTTTGAATTTAGCAAGCTTTTAGGGACATTAAGCATACTGGTCACTTTACTTAAGAATAATGTCAACAATATGCAATTAAATTAATTCCATCTTCAAAAGGAAAAGCAAATTAAACTGTGGCTTATGACAGTAACCAAAACTGTCTTAAATTCTTTTCATTTCAAAAAGTTAGCCAAAATACATGCACATTTATTTGTATATAAAAAAGTTAAGAAATGCATGTTGGGTAAAATTAGCAGAATAAGGGGAGATAAAGACTTCTGATTATAAACATAAGGGGAGATAACTGTTGGTTGTATAAACATGAGGGCAGATAATGACTGTTGAGTGTTAACTTACCCTGGCTACCACAGCATGAGCGAGCTGATCCTCGAATGACTTCACCTGGTGATCACAAGAATCGTCTGACAGTGAGGAAAGGTCTGAGACAGCTTCATCTGAGGTCTGTAAAGAAAATAATTGGAGATTTATTTTGTAGATTTTTTTTTACATAATTTTTTTTAAAAATATCTTAAATATTTTGTAGTTTTCTCTATGAATAAATTTTAAAAACTGTGTCAGGGAAAAATTATTATTGTTTACTTGTATTTTACACCTTGGGAAAGTTTTAACTATAGTCTATACTAGAAATAAAGCAACATCCTTGTTTTAAAAGACAATATCTAAAATCTAATTAGCTTCATCTAAAGCAATGGTTCATAAATTCTTCATACAAAGTGAATTTATAATGCTTAAAAAAAATGAAATTCCTCTTCAAGTTATTCCATACAGGAAAAAAATTTATAAAAAATGGACACTCAGGTTAAAAACCCTGACAATCATAAGATACAAATCCATTTACAATTAATACACTTTTACCGAGGTCTTTAAATGAAATTTTAGCAAAAGATGATTCACTGATTTCAGCACCATAAACAAAACATTTAAAAGAAAATTTTAGAGAAATGCATTCTTGAAATAAAAGGTGTTACCTGAAATTGCAGGTGTATAAAGCCAAGTATCGATGCAAATTAATGGCTATCAATAAGGGACCATATCAAAAATATTCTTACATAGTATTAAAGTGGACCCATAAAAAATCCCTCACTGGAATGTTCCAAAAAATTCATAACCACTAGTTTTTCCTAAATGCAACTTATTCTAGAAAGTTTGGCCAGAAAACAAAAAAAACTTCTTAGATGTATATCAGGAATTGTTTTAAAACAGCCATGAATTAAACATCAGGGTCCAAAAAACGAGACCTGTGAAACAACCCCTACAGATAAAAACATTGGGATATCATTATAGTTGGTAATGACAAAGCTACTGAACTGATACAATCTACCTGTACATGGGGACCAACAGGGCAACTTAACATGTCAATATTTATCTGCTAAGTAGACATTAAACAGGAATAAATTGGCCAAACAAGGAAAGGTTGCATAATTGATTACAGGAAAGGGAGATGACTCTGAATGACGACTTTAAATAAGGGGAGTTGTGGACCAATGAAAGGAGATAAAGTTCTAGAAGTTATATTGCAATATGTTTTTGTATCCTAGATACTCACAAAGGCAAAAGCACGTTTCTAGATGAAAAATTCATTTCAAACAACACTTTGCATCTGTATGTACTATATATAAGTATAATCTGGTGGAGCCCAAATTAGAAATAAGAAAGTGCAACTGCATTAATTAATCATATACCTATATGCAATTACATGTATATTTTTAGATTACTATTTTTAGAGAATGACTATTTTGGGAGGGAACCTGTTCTCTACACATTCAGAGATTGTCTACACATTCAGAATGTTCCATTGAGTCATTTAAGTTTTATCTTACTAATGTACAACTTTTTTATGGGCAGGAATTAGTACTGTCACTCAGAAACATGAGATAATTAGATATACACCAAAATAGATAAACTTTGAAAGGAATCCCACATAAATGCTAATTTAACCACAGAAAAATACTTTTCAATTCTAGTCATTCATAACACATTTTTGTGGTCACAATTTCCTTGAATGAGATTCAAAGTGTTCAAATAAACCCAACAATTGGTTTCAAAACAGTATCTTAACGAGGCCCGATCTACTTGATCTGCGCATACGTTTTAACGCAGCTCTAGGGTCACAATACCCTTGAAATTCACACTGTCACAATTAAAATGACGTAAATTGTCATAATGTTTTGCTATCTTGCTTACTATCAATGCATGTGCAAAAGCTTTTTAATCATTTTTTTTAATATTTAAATTAATAAACAACTTTGGAAAATTTTTTAAGGGATCAATTTTTTGGCAAAATTGTGAGTTTAAAAAAAACAAACGCTGTAACCAAAAGTAAACGATTTTAGTCTTTCTCTTTAAACATGTTAAAGTGTTTATACACACTCTTTTCATTGCGGACTTAAATATGCATGGATTATCTTTAGTTTTAAAATAAAAGAAGTCTATAAATCATTTAAATGCAAACCCCGAAATATTTTATTTTTCTATATATTACATAATATTAGTAAATATCAGTTTATATAATCCAATTTCCACCTAAAACAACGTCACCTGTCAAACACAATGATTCAGTAGTTACATTTTTTACAATGCTATATGTTTGTTGGTTTTATGTACATTGAATAAAATACATCACACACTGCAATAAAGGCTAACAGTTCAAAGAATTTCTCTCCTGTAAATTTCTTCGTTTATTGAAAGTTTTAGTATGTAATTGTGTATAAAAACATGACAAATGGTCACAACCCCCATTTGACTACAATAAAGGCAAGGTCAAAATTACATTCTAATTTTTCTAGCTCTCTATATTTCCAAGAATTAAAACTTTTTATCATTCTTGGAGACCAGTTTTAGGGAAATGTTGAAATTCTATATACATGTAATTGACCCGTATGTAGTCATATAAGTATCAATTGTAATTTCATTCAATAAATAACGTGAAATTTTATTGGCAAAATTGTGTCCTACTTCCTAAAGGCCAATAATTGTTACATTTTCTAAATGTCTTTGTAATTTTTGTCATATATTTATCTCAAATTATTACACACAATGTAATCTCTCTCTCTACTGAAATTTATTTCTCTCTCTCTCTCTTCTGAAATTTAAATCATTTTTGAGCAGTGTCTCTCCCTCTCTCAAATTATTACATGTAATCTCTCTCTCTTGAAATTTATTTCTCTCTCCACCTCTCTTAAAAATCTCTCTCTCTCTCTCTCTCTCTCTCTCTCTTTTTCTCTCTCTCTCTCTCTCTCATGAAAATGAAATCATTTTTAAGTCTCTCTCTCTCATGAAAATGAAATCATTTTTGAGGTTGAACAACTTGTAATTTTATGTTTATATATACATGTAACTTTATATGCTCACAATCCAAAAATATGTTATTTCTATACATACTTACATAATCTTTATTTGGTCATTATGGATAAAATGTGTTACATTTTCATAAATAGATTCAACTTTACGAAAAATTTCAAAGCTGAAAACCATGAATTTAATTTATTTGTGCTAAAACAAATGAATTTTTTTTTATCTTCAAGTGACAGATTTATGATTTGTGAGCAAAACTTAAAGGTTATGATTAGCTGATGACAAGAGCAAATAGGTATAACACGACAAAGTGGTTCAGTTAAAGAGTCCTCAAAGCGACGAGTTATCGTAAGCACTTAGCCGCTACTGATAAATCGCCTAACCATAGAGGGATTTTCTGCTGGGGACCTACACTGAAGTTTTCAGACAATTAGAGTGCTTCTGACCATAAATATTCCAAGTACCCGGCAAGAATGCTTTAATATCAAATTGGGTGGGTGTTCGAGTTTGAAATCCTCCCCCAAAATATTTGTTTTAGGATTTTGCTGGGATTGAATGGGACCAGAAAAGTTGGCTTTACCTGGTGTATATTTCTCTATCATACTCATGAAAAATTGTTAAAGTTTTCAATAAGTAGGTCATATAACAGACAAAATCAGGTACTCGTTAATGAAGTAAGAGGATAAATAAAGCTATTTAAAAATCACTATTCCTTGAAGGGGTATTTATCTTGGAGTGAAATAGACACCTTTTTATTAAAATCCAACATTTATTTAAAAATCTAATGGGTCTCAAAGATTTTTAAAAACATGTACCCCTTTTTGCTGTCATTTTAGATTACGAACTGTTATCACCTCTTTGATATTTATGTGTCTTTTTGATCTTAGACAAACAAAAAGGTTTACTTCTATAAATTGACCCTGTTCAAAACTTTTTTTTCCTTATTCAGTTTTTATGTCTAAACAAATTTCCTTAGTTGAAATTATTTTTACAGTATATATTCTTGTTAGCAACCAGGACACATTATAAGTGAATCGATTGCAATTTTTATAATAACGTAAGTCTTCTTCCAGATTTCTTATAACCTACTTTCCACGGCCATTTCCAAGCGTTGTGAGACACCGACCAATAATTCTCGTAACCGTGACCTGTATTTCTCCAAAACTTCCCCATCTAAAAAAACAATGTAAAACCATGAAATATATAATGTGGAGATACTGAACCGTATTCTAGTTCAATTTAAGCTATGTAAAAATGGATAAATCACTTTTAAAATAAAAGCACGATGCATATCATTGAAATCTTCTATTTGTATACTAGAATTTTCTTCAGAAAAATTTAAATTAATAATCTTCAAGATAGCTTTGAAACAAAGTTTCATAAAAGAAACATGTCAAACTCAATGTTGCAAAAATTTTCATTTGGTCCTGCATCACAATCGCAGGTATACCTTATTTTGCACAGCAATGATTTTCTTTAATCAAACTTCATACATAATACATAACATTAGGTGTGCTGCAGACTTATTGATTTCAAGCTTTTGACAGTTAACTCTAAACCCCATGTCGGTTTTCCCATTCTACGGTCACTGAGTTATTTATAGACCGGGTCAGGGGTGGGGATGTGGGGGGGAGGGACCTACATGAGGTACTGCCATAACTGGAGCCTCCATTGAGGACAGGCTGCTCTAGAGACTGGTACAGTTCCTGGAGAAGGGAGTCGAACTTGGAGTTGAATTTCTTCTCCTCTGTTTCCTTGTAGTGCTCAAAAGCCTCTTTGTATATATCTGAAAACATAAAGATTTTGTAAGAACATCAGTCATGTATGCTCAAACATTCTTCAACTATAATTCTAACTTCAGATCATGAAATAAGTTTCTTTAAAAAGTGACATATCAATGCTTTAATGATTTAATGATTTATTTAATGCATTTTTTAGAGCCATACATTCTTTCATAAATATGGTAAAGCTAAAACTTAAGAATGTCTTTCATCTTCAAACCCTTACCTCACCCCCTCTCATCCTCTCTTTTCACCCATCCATCCCCCCTTTTCACCCAATCCATTCCCCACCTCCCCCCCCCCCTTTCACACAGACATTCCCCACCCTACCTTTTCTCCCAAACATTTCTCTATCTACCCTCCCCTTTCAACTACTCTTTTGCTACTGAACATGCAATGTCCTTATATCTCTGTTTTGTTCAGTCTTCAGTACCTTCTTTACTTTTCTCCTTGGGGATGTTGTCCACTTGAACTTCAGCCGTTGTGCTGCTGCTGCTACTGTTGTTAATTTTGTTGTTGTTTTTGTAGTTTTTCTTGTTGTCATGGTTCAGCGATTCCACGGAAGTTGCACGAGAAACAGTTGTTGTTGTAATGGGAGCTGGGCCTATGGACTCAATTTCTGAAAAACGAGATTCAGGACATTAATAAGACAGCGAAACAAAAACGCATTTTTACATTTTTTTTAAACCTAAACACTAAGTAAAATGCTCCCTTTTCACAATTTTTTGGAATGTGCATTGAAAGTTGCATTGTTAAAAGTGCTTCTTTGCATGATAGTTCATGGCTCTATTGTACTCTTTCTTGTATCTTAATTCTCTGAGACCCTGATAATGTTTTGTATTACCGGTAAGTACACACTTTAAAAGAAATTAGAAGTTTTTCTCACAATGTTTAGGATGATACAGCAATTTTCATTTCTTTTTTTTTCATTTTTCTGTTTTCTTTCTCTCTGTGTGAAACACAGTGACAGTTTTTGTTGAAGTTTGCAAAACTATTCAGAACCTGTTTCACAGAGTTCATTAAATACATAGATATACATAGATAAACCCCTCAGTAATCACTAAATTGTAATTTCTCCTACATATGTACTAAGCCAGGAGAATAATCAAAAAAAAAAAAAAAAAGAACTCAAGCAAAAACAAAATTTTAAACATTTTTTGTTGTAAGCAATTTATCATGCAGTTACATATAAAGGGAGAGATGGGGGGGGGGGGGGGGGGGGGGTATAAAAGTTGGGAAAAGATATTTTATCAATATATAGCAAGGATTAAGAACTTGATATCTGTATATGAGGTACTCTTACATACAAACAAGACAACCATTACTAACTGACCAGTGGTCATCCATTCACACTTACAACACCTATAAAAGACTCTAATTAAACCCCCCAATATAGAACTGTGTGAAAGCAATAAACAGTTATTAGTCTAACTGTAACCTTGTATGTTTCTGTCAGTGAACACATCAATGAACTACAAGGACATAGTTTGTACTACGTAGACTTGATGGCTTTTACTTGTCAATGTACACAAAGGTTGGCCTGGCTCTACGATTAGGCACTCAGTGGCACAACACATTCAAACACCGAATTTAGTACCTATTCTCACAGCTTATACAGTGAACTTGACACCATGAATTGAAGTTAATTCTTATCATTTTACAGTCTTCTTTTTCCTTGTAATATCCAGCAAAGGATATCATACATGACATTTTTTTAATAAAGAAATGACATTTAATTTCTTTCCATATTATATTTGTAAATTTGACCTTATATATCTACAACTCTTGACACTTTTTGGAAAGTCCTTCAAACTTTGCATACATGACATATATTTTGACAAAAAATAAAGAATATCGATATATTGGCAATATACATATATTAAGGAATTTCTTAAATATAAAAATGGACATAAAAGTCATATATTGTTTTGTGGTAAAATTTCAGACATAACTTTTGAAATTTTTTTTCTACAATTTGTGTACTTGAAATTAAAGTAAATATAGTAAGAAAATGCCATTTTTATTACATTGAAAATATTGCAAAGTACATTTAAAAATATCTTATATCAAACTTTGGCCAATACCCAGCCCTATTATTGAACCAACCTCTTATTTTAACCTTCCTGCGTTTTTTTGGAGAGGCACCCATGAACTTATATGAACCATTGTACTGGTTAGAATTCTGCCTGCCCTGTAACCTCTCCACAAAACTTGTTCGATTTTTCCCACAACTGTACGCTTTTGTCCCTTTATTTTTCGAAACATTAGCACTGAAGTAAAATGTTTGGCTGCTGTTTTTCTTATTATTGTTTCTATCCGTTCTTGACAGCTTTGTCCGTAAATAACTTATCCATTTTGTGAAAAGTACACCAAACCAACTGAATAAAAATCCGGGACAAGCCATTGGATCCTCCTCCCATTTGTGTCCCCCCAAAAAAAATCCTGACCCGACCGGCACAACTTCACAATTAGTGCATGCACAAGTCACGGCCTGAAAGTCTCAATTGAAAGTCCTTAATTTCTTGTATCTAATTATTTTCATTATGCAATGGGACAAGCAAGTCTCACAGATATTTTCCTTTTGTCCTCATACTGTTTGACAACTGTCAATTCATTAGGGGTAGCATTGAGCTTTTTCAATAATAGAGATTGCCTTAATCCATGCACCCTGAGTAGAGTTTATAAAGGTGTCTAGCACCAGAGCCTTAAGGGGGTAAAAAACATCCTTCTTAATTGGAAATCAATTGTTATGTTTTGTTAACAAAAGACATTGCATATATAACAATTATATATTTGGAATTTATTGTATATATAACACTTATATTTGGAAATTGTCACAGTTTTGCTTTATACCTTCAAGCTCTCTCTCTCTCTTTCTTTCTCTCTCTCTCTCATTTAATCAAATCTGAGTAAAAGCCCATCTGTGTAAAATTTTCTGTCTGGCTATACTGAAGCTAAAAATGAACTTTGACATTTGTAAATATTAATTGTTTCAGTTTGAATCCTATTGAAGCTAAAAATGAAAAAAAACCTATCTATTTTATAAAATCTCTCTCTCTTTCTCTCTCTCTCTCCAAAAGGTCACCATTTTATATAAAGCTGTATCAAACTAAATCTGCAAACTACACACTTTCCAAAACAAATGAAATCCACATCTAATAACAACATTCTTAAAATTTCCTTTTCAAGTTACTAGTGTTAATGGGTGGATGCTTTTAAAATTAATCCAGTACCTTTGAAGTTCCTTATCAAGAGAACATTAGGTGTTTACAGTTTGAACATTGATAGCTGTACCTATGTATGTCAACTTGAGCCCCTCTTATGTCAAATAGCATTCAGTTTTGATCCTAGATACACCGATTAACACATTTTGGACAACTTTGTACTACACTGACAAATTGGAATGTTTGATGTATATTTAGCCAGAAGTCATGACTCCTGAGTATCTTCCAAATCTTTTATGGCCTTTATCTTGTAGTTAAAAAAAATGTAAAACTCATAAAATTGCATGATAAAAGATGGGTTAATTAATTTTTTTTTTTTGGGGGGGGGGGACTTTTGGCATAAATTGACATTGATCAAAGAAATTATAAAAGAAAAGTAAAAATGAGATTTTTATGGTTTTAGTTTAGCTGTTTAGATAATGGAAATATTCTCAGAAAGTGTGGCTTAAATTTTGCTTCTAGATTTAGATTCACTTATTCAAAGTGCTGTATCAAAAATTCTTTTAAAGAAACCTTGTTTTTAACATAACAATTAATGAAGAAAGTTTAATTAAGTGTCATGCTGTGCATAAATTTTTAGACTGCAAGAACAAAGGCATTCACAGCAATGTTTTAAATAGTAAATTTTATGGCCTACATATAGTCACTTTTTTCCTGAACATGGAGAGAAAATGTAAAACTCATAAAATTGATAAAAGATGGGTTAATTAATTCTTCTTGGTACCTGACCATACAAATTAAAGGCAAAGTTATAGGCTTAAAAGAAAGCTAGAAATCTGCTGTTTTTCAAATTAAATGCACCTTGATTTTAACAAAACAATTAATGAAATAAAGTTAATAAGTGTCATGCTAAGCATAAGGGGTGCCATTATAAATTTTAAAATATTCATTTGGATACTTTTTTCCCAAAATAATTTGTCTAAAACTTTCCCAAATATTTGTTTTGAACCTTAAATCACATAAGGTAAACCGTATGAAAGAAGACCTTTGTAAACTATTAAAGTGTCCAAAAAGAAAGAAAATTACATAACTGAACAGTTGACAAATTCTTTCCTTTCAAAATCTTCTATCTTGTGGGATTATATCATCAGACTTTCCTTAATCCATTAAACAGCTGTAATGACTAAATAGGTACGTAAATTTCTGAAACACACACCCCCTCCCCCCAAGCGGTGAGATTTTGATGTGGGCGGTGTACTTCAGTTAATACTACACTGCCATTGTATGACAGCTATAAAGGTAAACAACACCCAGAAACAACAAGACAACAAGATTAAAAGATAAATTTCTCTCAACAGGTGTGGTAGTAACGTGTTGGACTCGGCTGGCCGGGTCTGGGGCTAGGGGAAGAGTCAAGGGACATCCAGTGATAGGCAACATGAAAGTGAATGTCTCTGTCTTCTCCAGTGTATATAAATTCATTACTTAAGATTGTCATAAGACCGGCTGGTACATGCTTGACGGGGAGTAAAATAAAAAAATATTACGGCAATCTGACACAAATAATTTGCACAGATATCACTGAAAAAAGAGGTCAATGAAGATAAGAAATTGTTATCATTTATATAAACTGTAGATCACTAATTTTTCACGACACCTTATTTTTCCGAGATTGTCACTGACTCTTTGTAAGCGAGACATAAATTTCACGAATAGTTGTTATTCCTCTATATAATCGTAAGGAATACTTTTATACGAGAGAATTAAATTTTTGCGAATGCACTGTCTCACGTAATTACGTGAAAATAAAGTTCTCGCGAATAAAAAGTGATTTAAAGTAATAAAATACTGACGTACTAGTATACATGAAATGTATAAATAATAATTGTGCATTTTAAAAAAATACAATAAACGTTACGGGCCTACCTTACTCTATGTGGAAAATGTTTCTTAATAAAATGCATTTTTTTTAAATACTAAGACTAGTGTAAATAACATAAAGTTAACTTCATTTTTACAATTTTTTTCATGAAACTTCATTTTCTAATCACCAGATAATAAAATGACAATTGAAAGAAAAAATATGCAAAGTCTGAAGTGTAAAATAAATGTCTTTATAATTTTGATCAATTATTAATACAAAATTTTCTTTGCATGGCCTAAGTACATGATGATGTCTCCATTCCTTGATATGAGCTTGTCAGACAAACAGCCTTTTTACCCCATCATAGTGTTAAATCCAGTCCACTCTCTGGGGGTGATGTATGACCTCCAGCCAACAGGTAATGAGATGAGTAATTAGCATCATTAATTAGGACAAAGAAATAATTACCACCTTGCCATTCTTCCGTGCCTTGAGCAATAAACATCACGGCGTTCTTGTGCCTTTATTTCTCATGTTCGACCATGAATTTTACACATATTGTGAAGAATATTTAGCTAGTAGCCTGCATGA